AAGCAAAGAAGGCATCAGCAGCTCTGCCTTCTCTGCACCCTCAGTGGTCAGGGCTGTGCCTCACTCAGCAGTGGGCCCACACTTCCCTGTTGGGCCTTTTACTACTGATAGATTTAAAGAAGCCCTTTTTGTTCTCTTTTACTTCATTTGCTAGTTTTAGATCTAAGAGGGCTTTTGCATTCCTTATTGCCTTCCTACATGTCCTGACAGTTTCCCTACATTTCTCCCAAGTGACAAGTCCCTTCTTACATGAGCTGTACACTTCTTTCTTCCATGAGATTTCCTTCAGAAGCTCCCTGCTCATCCATGCATGTCTCTTAGCTCATCTACTTGATTTTTTACTCAAGGGAATACATCTATCTTGGGCTTGGAGGAAATGGTATTTAAAAACCAACCAGCTTTCTTGGGCCCCTTTACCTTCCAGAGTGTTAGCCCATGGGATTCCTGCACACAGATCTTTGCAGAGTGCAAAGTTAACCCTGTGAAAGTCCAGCGTTGTAATGCTACTTATTGTTCTGCTTCTACCTTGTAAAATACTAAACACAATGTTGTGGTCACTGAGCTCTGACAAGCAATCATTGAGCCACAAGCCCAAATAATCTAAACTCCTTCAGATCATCTCCAAGATAAAGAACCATCTTCACAATGTTCATTCCCATTTTGGAAGCTCTTGTACAACACAAAGAGTAGCAGAACATAATATTTATTTTAGCCACTCCTGTTGTCTGCCCGGTGGATTAACACAAAACTACATTTTACAGAAGTTTACTATATTGTGAACGTTAGTAAGTCTCAGATTATGCATTTTCCCTTCTACCATCTCAGTTATTAGGCAGAAAATTCTAGTAGGATAGAGGTAGCAACTCTAATAACCACAGAAACTCTGACCTGTACTCAGCTGTAAAGTGTCTTAATAATATTAATGATTATCAATAGCTCACAATTTACATATAAACTGTTTAAATAAACTCTATGCACTCACTGACCATATTTCTGACACGAGGCTTGTCCTTTAAAAAATTCTTCAGACCAATAATTTCCAAGATAATTTTTGTTATTGATATTACTTTTTCTTATTTCCTAAATCACAACAGAATTTCTAATCTAGCAGGAGAACAAGATATACTGTTTATGGAGTAAAAAATAAATTCATTACTTTGCATTACTTCATTACTTGCTGATACTTAGTCAACAAAAATTACCAATGAAAATGCACAAAACTGCTACCCAGTCTAATTTTTCTCCTGTATACATTTTCTTTTTCTCCTTTAAGTTCTCACTATGAGGTCTACATTAAAATGCTGCAGCTGAAAGGTTCTCTTTTCAGGTGACTGGCACAGCACAATAACCTGTCTAGCAGCTAAAAACAGTTGGATGAACTTACTGCTGTGATTTCAGCTTTTTTCTTATGCCTGCTATCAGTCCATACTCTTTAACCATGCTTTCAAACGCTTCTTTTCCATATCTATCATAGGTTAGGTTTTCTGCATTAGCTTTTCCTGGAAATCAGTAATTTCAGCTCACTAAAACTTTCTTTGTTCTTCCTCCAGGTTGTCAAATATAATTTTAACTGAGGAAGGAAACTCACATCAGAAAATCAGACATAAAACTATATTCTTCTCTGTGTTTTGATGTCATCCTGATTGCGGGCAGGAACTGCTCACCACCTTCTTTCAGAATTTCTTTCAGATATTTGAATTATTTTTCCAATTCCTCATTTTATTTTGTTCTCTTCTGCTACTATTGTTATTACTCAATTTAGGAATGACTTTGCAGGATTTAGTTTGTTCTTTCTGCAGATACAACGGTAGTTATCTGCTTCTGCAGAGCTTTCACAAAGAAAGTTATTCTGTCCACGTGCTTACAGCCACCAAAATGCTTCATTTTCTCAGCAAATCCGAAGTTCTGACTGATTATCAATATTTCTCAATTATTTGCTTTTCATATATGTTTCCTGCATTTGAAAGTGAAAAGCAATTATATATCACACTTTTTTTTAATCTCAGCAAAGCAGTTTTACAGATGTATTTCAAGGCTATTTTATTACTTTCAAGGTACTAGACTCATATTTTTCCAAGTAGACATTTCTCTGTTGTATTTTGTTTCATATTGTTTTTTCCACAAATCATTGTAAGATGATATACATACATCCATATTTTTTTCCAAGCATACCTTGTAATTGCGCCCGTGTTTATCCAACAATGAAATAATCGATTTGATGTGCTCCTCAGCTATCACATTTAAAGCTTCTGGGCTTTCAATCAAGATGCAGTGCAACACTTCCAAAATACCTTCATAAAGGCAACATAAATAATATTGTCATTAAATCATCTGCACAATGAAACACAATTTACAAGCTCAGTATCAGAGTATATCTTAAGAGATGCTGGCTTCTCTGCAGCCTAAAAGGACAATGAAAACTGAAAGAGTATTGATATGACTATGATGTGAACAGCATTAGACATAAATCTGTTATGAAACTTAATTTCTGTTTTCTTTTGAAAATAGCCACAATTTTAAAACCACTTGAGAAGAACACAAGTTTAGCTCCTTCTTTTAAATAAGAGAATGGTTTTTGTAAGGAACACTGTATAGTATTTTGATATTTTGTTGAACACTCCATAGAGGAAAAACACCAAACGTTCTCTCGTGTACATATATAGACAAGTTATTTGTACTTGTTCCCACAAACATTTCTGGTGTTATATGATAGCAGTGGGACAGTATTCTTGATACTGTCTGACCCAATCCATTAATTCACCAAAGTCACGTTCAAGACTGATTGGATAAAGTATTGCACATATCAAATCTATGGAAGCAAAAATGGCAACAAAAATGTCTGTTTCAATGTAATACTTGGGTCAAAGGAAATGTATTTGATTTCTACCATAAGTTGTTCTCCAGGAAAACTTTTGTGATATTTGTAATGTAAGAGAGCAGTGTATGGTGTATTTATGTTTAATTTACATGTGTAAAAGTGAGTCTTACCTGAGGAAGATTCTACTCTGTCCAATTTACTTATTAGCCAATCGAGGTTACTGGAAAACTGAGTACAATTGTTTCTGTTGCCACGAATGAGAGCAGCTGGAAAAAACACACAAGGTATTATTTTAGAACAGGAGATTTCCTTTTTAAATTATCAGTGTTAATATATATTTTAAGAGAATTTTGTAACAACTTCACAAGATAATAAACAGACAAATCCTAAATACACAAATGTTACGGTAATAAAGAATTAAGATTTTCATTAATTTGAACATCAGCAGCTGACATAACTTGTAAAGAGCATAGTTTTTGAAGTTCACAGTGGTCTACTGGATAAACAAGAATTTAAGAAAAAAATGTTTCATTTACGTTTTACACTGAATTTAAATAGAAATCTAGCACCCTTTTATGATGCAAATGTGAATAACTGTCATGATCAAGAGGCTGAAACACTTCTTTTTCTATTCCTTATTACCAATAAGTAGGAAGATCATATGTAGAAGTATAAGCTCACGTGCAGGTTTGGTGCACTGTTTTTTAGCTCTACTTTCTGATTAAAACTTGTTATAGGCTGGGTAGCTTTTAGTCTTCAGTAGCACAAAACACTATGTTATTTGATATTCATATAGATATTCAAGTATTTCAAGCAAGACTGGCTTTTTTTGTCTTCCAGAAGTTATTACCAATCAGAGAAAAAAAAATTATAAAATATTAACTTAGTGTTTGATATATCAAAAAGCATGTTCGAGATCTACCTGCAGAAGAAAATTGAGACAAAATCTGAAAAGGCCTACGTACCACTAAATAGCTTTTTTCCATGAAACTTTTCTTTAAACTCATAGGACTGCAGTAAAATGCAGGCAATGGTATGTCATTATTTTCCAAAGCAATGAGAAGATTACACCAGAAGCATCTGCATGTCTATGCTGTGTGAATAACCTCATGCTTCAAACCACTCCCCCTGGTTTGTTTTATTCTTCCTTACTCTTGACTTGCATATTTTGCTATGATTTGGGAGTAACTTTCTTGTAATGAAGTTAGAATATATTTAAACTCCAGCAGAAGACAAGATTCTCCTACATGAGGAATTACACAACTTGAGCATCTAATTAGTGATTTAAAAAAGTACACAAACGCAAATAACACACACACAAACACACACACACACACACTTCTACTCTATAATTTTGGCCTTACTACAATGTAGAAGCAGTTAGCTCTAGAAAACATGACAATGAAATGGAAACTAAATGAAACAAAACTTTTAATTCCTGTGATGTAATTATTTTTATTAACAGCTAAATCTAGGCCTCAAGTGAGAAGCATAAATTGAGTAGACCTACAAGTTCTGACTATTACTTTTAAGGTTTCTTTTGAGCTTCATATATGAAAACTGGTCTCCAGTTTTTCTAACTTTTAAAATAATAATTCACCCCTATATGCATGCCACAGGCATATTTAGAAGGATATTAAAAGAAGGATACGCCTTTGGCATGCTGCACCAATTTTTTTTCCTAGCTGAGACTTAGTTTTCTGCTATATCATTGCTCACTGAACTATGATCCCTGTAATATCAGCGAAGAAATTCTGTAGTTGAGATGATAGAATGAGTAACACACAAAATATTCTTTGGTGTTGAAGCAGCAAGTAGGATATAAAGAATACATATCCTGTTTTTTTACATTAGTAGATTATTGAAGGACTTACCTAACAATTTGTAAAGGAGATTCAAAATTTCTTTCCATGTTGTACCACGTTCTTCTCTTCCAATTCCTGCAAAATGAGCTGCGCTGTTGTAGTCATTGAAGCGATCAATGCAATTCAAAACGAGTGCCAGCATTCCCTGAAAGTGTATGAGAGAGAGGAAAGCAAATGGTACATTAGAAAGTATTTGTTGGTGTTCTTTTAAAAGATATTTTCCTATACACATTTAAAAGTTATTTCATCTTAAGATTAAAAAAAAAAAATAGAGCTTACAAGATTTGAATGTGTTATTTCTCTATATTAGAATCATCCATTTTAGAGAATGATTCCATACTGTTCCTTACTCATCAAAATATTATTAAAAGTGAGGAATAAACAAAGCTGGCATTAAAGACTTTTATAATTTCTGTGAACAAACATTTTTTTACGTAAAATCTTCCTTATATGGGAACTCCTCACATGCTTTAAATTTATATACAAAGGAACTTTTGTTGCTTAAAGGAGGTGGAAACTTTACATTATAAATCACATGCATGCTTCTAGATGGTAATGTTTAAGTTCTTTGCAATGTTTGTGACACCAGAAACTTAAAACTCAAATAATGTAACAATTCATCCTTCTGTACCTCTTCTTTGAAAAGATTTTGTCTGTTTTTGAGTGATCGAAGTTTGCTTTGCTTATCTTCATGATCTAGGTCTTCTTCGGGAAGCTGGAAGTAAGTAATTAGGTCTTCCAGAGTCTGAGCCATCTCCTCAATAGGCAGGGCAGTGGGTGATTGTGTCCTGTTGTTTCCACTACAGAAAACAACAACGAGAAACACTGTCAGCATCATTAATTTTCCCACTGTAATTTAGAGTAATATGTAGCAACCTATTTTCTGTTGGTATATAAATGAAGTCTTTATAAATACAACATATGTGTATGATCTGAATTGCAAATCATTCAAACATCTATTGTTTGAGGGTGCAGCACTCAAAGCTTCCTGAGATGGAATCATATTTTCCTTTCCACACTGATGTAAAGAGAGAATGATTAAAAATATGGAGGGGGAATATTGTTTAAATACAGGCTTGAATTCTCAAGTCATAGAATCACAACTTGAATTATTGATTAAAATTAGATATAGTCACTGTCTCTCTGCTGAGATGCTGTTACTGACTTTGAATACTCATAAATCCATTCCACTGCAAGCAAATGTGTTGGTTTAAACAAGACATTTGGGAATGTTCACATAATAATCTAGCTCAAAGAGAAGTAGTTCTTCCTTTACCTTCTCAGATGACAGACTTCTGCCTTAATTGTTATTACTGGCTATAGACTGGTATACTGCATACAGTTCACCAGAGAGAACTGCCTGTCCTCTCATCTTTAAAGCTTCCAGATATCAGAGGGGTGACAAAGAAGTAGAAGGATCAATAGTATGAGTAATTAGAAGGACCAAATCTTTTCAGCTCAGATTTTGAGGGAAATAAATTGGTACTCTCCATCTAGACATGCAGAGATCTATTTTGTATGTCTTTTTATTGTTTATTTGCATGGACTTGGGGATGCTATTGTGTCATGATGTATTTTTGATCTAAACAGTACTAGACATCAATATTCCTGTCAGTTAACTTGACAAATTTGAATAAAGTCAGAAAAAATATTTGGTCTACCAAGAAAACTAGAAAAATAAGAATCCTTTTATGAACATTGTTCTAGCTACTGCAGAATACTTACTAATAAAGTTACATCAAGATCCTTTAGCATGTTTTTTCCAACCTGAATGATAATCCAGTTTACTTCTCATTTCAAGGTGTTAAAATTCATGTAAATAATCTTTAAATAAGTTGTTTTATCTGTTCTAATGGCATTGCTCATCAAAACTACAAGTAGTAAAAACATGTTGCTAATAGCTTCTAAATACAAATGCTTGAAAGCAGGAAATAAGGATCCTGTTAGATAAATTCTTATCATTACAGACCACTTTAAAAAACAAACAAACAAACAAACAGGATGGTAAATAAGACTGTAGCAACTACCTTATAAACTGGCTGAATAAGCTTGTAGTATTGCGGATGATTCGAGCAGCCTGGGACTCCTCCTGCTGACATCTTTGTAAGGTTAGACCGTCATCCATATGACCTTCTTTGTGTAATATAACCTATTGGAAGTCAGTCATCATCACAATAATTACTTTAAAAACCTTTATGCGTTCAAATGTTTTGTAACATTTCTGTATTGTACTGAAAACAGTAATTTCATATATACTGAGCTACCACTTGTTAATCACTTTACCGGAACGCCCGTTTATCAATTACAAATTTGTCAGTCTCATATAAAAGTTATTCAGACAAGACATTTTAATGTATCTTTATTCTCTTGCAGTTGAACACAATGTTAAACATAATAGTTAACACTTATAGTTAAATATAACATAATAGTTAAGCATATATGTTAAACAAATAGTTTCCAGTTGAAACAAAAAAAGTCATTCTATATTCTGGCTATCAGGGAAAAAGGCTCTTCACTATCTTTAGCATCATTTACTAAAGGATTCACACATGGAAATACTACTGACAAGAAAGTCAAGCTGGAGTAACAAACACCATAAAAATTACAATGCAGACAAGGAGCAATAACATTTATGAGTAACTTCTGACTCATATAACTGTTCTCTACACATTAGGTTGGATTCTTATCAGAACCCAATGTGATCATTGTATGAAATTCAATCAATAACAGAGATCCTTTCGTAGGTTTTTAATTTTTCCCTTTAAATAAATACCCAATTTCACAAAAATTTTTTTGTACATACTGGCTTCTAGTTATATCAAAGCATTGGAAAGTGATGTTTTTCCATACTTGGCAGGATCCAAAGTATATGTGATCTCTGCTCCTAACATACAGAGGAAGTGTTTTTAGAAGAGACAATCACCCTACAAGTTTATAAGGACCCCAGAATCCAGGACCTAATGTTCACTAGTTCTCTGACAAAAAAAAAAATCCATCCCAAAACCTCAGCTAAATCATCCAGAAAAAGCACAGTGACAGGAGTGTGTTATTTAGAACTCCAGTATCATGGAGATCATGGCCAGAAGCATCCAGCCTTGCCTACTCCAGTTCCTCAGATTCACCAGTTCCTTAAGTATAAAGGGTCACTTTGCACCGTCTTGCTTGTTGGGGTACAGCAAGGCACTAGTATTGACCAGCTATGGGCAATGGTCTCCAGGATATGAATCCAAAAGAGGTACCACGTGTTTCTCTGTTCCCTAAGCTCTAGCATTCTGGAGCTCTGCAGGAGTTCATAGCGTGCACAGAAACAATTTCTCAAACTAAAAATACAGGTTTCCATCATTCATACTGGATGGTGAAAGAATTTTGAACATAATATTGGTGTAAACATCATCACTACCTGGCAGCCTTGAACCCTTGGTTAGCAAGATCTTGGAGAGAGAGATAGAACAGATCAAAATTCTGGCAGAAATCATGCAACAGAAGCCTCATAAATAACGCCAGAATTTCTTACATATTTGTGTCTTGCGAAGACAGCATGATAACGAGATACAGGAAACTACACCAAGGCCAAACAAGTGAAATTTGTACTTGTTTCTTTGACTATTTTCTAACAGTACCAACGCCATAGTTGTTTTCTCCACTCCACAGTTTTACAGCAGCTGTCAGTGTTAATAGCTAGGTTATGTGAAAAAACCCACCTTTTGCTGCTTACCAAAAATAAGGTATTTATCAATCCTCTTAGAGCTACTGAGGCATGTTACAAAAAGTGCATGTTCTTGAGAAGGATTACAGTGACTGAAAGTGAAAATCTCCTGATAAAATAATGGTGGAGGATGCACACAAAGCTATGACTTCACTTCTAATGTAGAAAAATAAATTTGATATAAAATTTAAAGGGATGTATGTATCTAAACTTGCATACAAAATTATAATCTAGTACCATATTTTGGAGAGGATGAAAAACTGTTTCTTGCCTCCACAGGAATATCAGTTACAGGAAATGAGAAAGTTTGGGTTTTCTTCTGTTTGAAGGCACTTAACAGGAGAGAATTCTCCAGGTGAGAGAGCAACAAAAGATTTGAAGCCTTTAAACATCAGTGAAAAGAAGTTTGAAAGAAGAACAAAAGTGACATGCAATTTATGGAGGTTTAGTCACTGTTGCTGAGCAGAAAACTAGGGGGGAGGGGGAAAAAAACTAAACTTCACAGGAAGCTATTCCAAAATTCTTCATTGAGTGCAGAGGAAGAATCTACATCTTGCCTTCTTAAGAAGTCAAACCTGACCCCCTGAGGAAACAGAATCCCATAGCCAAAACTGGCATGGGAAAGGAATAAGCCATCATGGTGATTGAGTCTTTTATAAAGAAAACTGAATGACTGGTGTACAAAGAATTTCTCTAATCAGCCAGGTTGCTGAGAAGTAGTAAAGGAGTTGGGGACTCACTGCCCATTTGTGACCATGTGTGCTGCATAAATAAATGAGATTGTGCCAAGGGTGTTCTGTGGACCTCGGGTTTTTTTGTATTACAGTGGTTGTGTATGGGCATCCTCTTGTGATTGTACTTACAAACAAATAATTAAGAGAATTCCAATTTCTGTTCAGCAGTGAGCCATTTTTTTTCTTTTTCACATTCTAGTGATAGGTTCAAGTTGTAAAAATCTATTAATACACAATCAAAGAATCATCTGGTAATGATACAGTTTTGCAAAGCTAGTACTAAATCCCTTAATTCTGAATGAAATGTAAACATGAAGAGATAACAGGTCATATGTGAAGAATTAAGAATACACATGTACTGTATAATCAAAAGGCTGAAAGACCTTGTCAATGCTACACGACAATTACATCTCATATTTTGGCAGGAAATTATTCATTAACATCCCTTAAGAAACTTGAGGAGTGTCTGGGGCCATTTCTTAAGTAGCAAATTTAATTGCCTTTTCCTACAGCATACTCAACTAAAGATTGTAAACCACTAACGAATGTAAGATGACTTACAAGTTTATGCCCTTAAGCAGTTAAATATAGATTTTCCAAAAAGTGGTTTGACCATACAAAACAGATATTTCCATATTTTACTAAAGTGACAAAAAATAAAAACTGAGCTCAAATGAATAATGTTTTCTAGCAAGAACAGTAGGTTCTTAGTGGCAAAGTTTTTCTTTAGTTACATAGTTATATTAATAACGACTGCTGTTTCCATTTTTAAACATTCACCCCATTTTCAATAAAACAGCACAAAACAATTAAAACCAACAATTGCCACATGGGTAGAATGGCAAAAAAAAAACAAAACAAAACCAAACAAAAACAGGACAGATCAAAACTGTTATGCAACTAACATCCTTTTTACAAGGAATTAAAAAAAATCCTCAAACATTACCTTTCTTTTCAAGGGACCTAAACGCGCTGTTTTAGCATCTTGTGCTTTGTAAGTCAACCACAAGGCACTGGCCACATGTTGGACAAAACAGACCGAATCACCATACTTTATTTCTGGGACTCCCATCCCGTCAATGTCTCGTTTAAGACTAGAATCCTGCTTTTCTTTTAGCTCCTGAAAAGATAAAGTAAAAGCTGGCTTTTAATATCTGTACTGGGACAGGATAAATCATTGACTTCTACACTGAAACACATTCCAACCCTAACAATGTTTATGTTACTTACATTGCTAAGAAGCAGTTGAATTTTGTTGCACGTAAGTTCTGTTTCTACCCAACTAATTAGTCAGATTCTGATTGAAAATAATTTCAAATCTGAACTTCACTGAAGCAAGAAAAATCAAGTAAAATCTATTACCATATAAAGATAAGACTAAAAAAGCTTTAAATATTCACCCTAATCTATAATTGATTTACTGATGTAATTAAAGTTTCAGTTTACTAGAGCCTGTAGAACTTAATTTTTTTTTTTTTTAATTTTAGCTTAATTATGAAAAAGAAAAATGAGCAGGAACATATTTGGAAATTTAATTCAAGTATTGTTATGCTAAAGAATATTTTGCTTATAAATAGTATATGCGGATAAAAAACCAGTTGAAATAATGCCTCTGTTATTGCAACAACCAGCAAAGAAGAAATTAATTTTTAAAATAAGTATGTTTTGGCTCTTACATTTATTTTACTTTTGCATTTCTTAATTCTTTTTACATTTAGCTTATTTTTCCATTTATCCTTTTTGTTAGAGGAACTAGATTCTATCAAATCTTTTTTAAAGACATCGCTCAATGCCTAGCTGGAACAAACAACACAATATTCAAGCCAGAACTATTTATTAATCCCATTACTTTTTGTTCACAGGTAGGGGATTTTAAGGCTCCAGCACAAAAGCAGGCATCTTTTTTCTTTAAAATAGTTTTCCTTTCAAAATTGCATTCAGGAATAAGAATAGAATTGTGCAGCAAATGCTATATCAAATTATGGATGCATGTGCATATGTGTAATTAAACAAAAAACCTGAAGTAAAGAGAGTATTAGATTGCATAATTTTTCTACGATTTCAAGTGCTGGTGGACTGAACCTTGAGTGTGGACAGTCACTCATTTGTTGCTATGTACACAATGTTAGACACTGATGCACAGTTTATATTTTCATCTGTGTAACAGGTTTTCATATTTCATATAAGTTTATTGAATGTTCAACACCTGTGGAGTAAAGAGAAGGTCTATTTTGACTATGCTAATCTACTCTGATTTATATGGAATTATGTTGGCATTATAAAGCCAAGATGAAGTAGGATGAAATTACAAGACATTCCTTGAGGATATCATGACAATATCAAGACTATGGGGAAATCATGTCACATCATATTTATGTGGACTGCACTATCACAGTCAAAGATGAACTATTTCAATACACATTTATGATGAGGCTATTAAATGAAAAATACAATAAATAGCTCTAATCATTGACTATCAGCAATTAATTACTTAGCTTTACATAGCAACCTGAAGAATTAAACAGTGATCCTGATTAAGTTACTGTTTTTAAAAAATTGAGCAACACTGATGATTTTTGAGAACACTAAACTTAAAGAAAACCTAAGATTTTTTGAATTTCAGAAACAAAGCTTTAGAATTATATTGTGGCCCTGACATCTGTTCTCATTTTAAGCAATACAGCTTTAGTTCATCTTCAGGTTGTTTTGCTCTTTGTGCTCTGCTCAGTTTCTCTAGGATTTCAGCCAGGTCATTTGATAGTTGTGTGCAAAGAGAAGTTATATTTTCTAACAGCAAGAAAAGTATAGTTAGAAAAAGATTATTGAGAGAGAGGGGCAAAACAGAAATCTATCTAGATATTTGCACATATCTTAGCTGCAAAATATCCAAACACTTTCTCCTTCAAAGCCCTCTCTCAGCAATCTATTTTCAGTTTAACTCCCTCTGGCCATGAATGAATAAAGTAAAAGACAACAAATCAAATAATGAGACTAGAAGAGGACAAAGGGAAAATAACAGTGCCAAAAAAAACCCAACAAAACCCCAACAAAAACAAACAAACCAAAAAACCCCAAAAACCACCAAAAAGGAATTAACAAAGGAACTTGAGGGCAAAGCTGTCAAAGATGCAATTTTCACACGAAATTTAATACACTAGAAGAAGGGCAAGACTTAGAAAATAAGAAAATTCATAGAATTGTAGATTCCTATGTGATAAAAGGAAGGTAAGGAATGGCAGTATGAAAATGACAAATAGACCTGACTGTCTTTATAACAATTTTTCAACAGTCTTCTTGTAAAAATAGAGTAGGGAAAAAACTCTTGATCTCTTAAGGGTTTGTTTACATGCCCATACGAATGGTAGGACAACCTGGCTGGTGAACTCATCAAATCTAACCTATGTGAGCTAATTAAAATTGTATCTGTTGGGATTGCACACTGTTTTGTATTAAACATACTGCCATAGGCTACCCCATTTTAACAAAAGAAAAAGATAAAAGGGTCTACAAATAGATGAGCAGAGGATTGATATGTTGAGATTACCTATGTTGCTAAAGGGTTTACTGTACTCTGTATGCTTTGCTGTATAGATTTCTACACCCACTAGGTAAGAAAAATAAGAAACTGATTTTAATTTTATCTTCTACTTTCCCCTCCCATAAAAAAAAAAGTAGAAAAAATAGCTTAATATGGTATTTGAAATGCAGTGCTTACTGGGAAATTATAATTGTAAAATATAAACTTACAAATAAATACTTGAACTTTTAGAGACAATTGTAGCTAAAGGACTCTGTAATACCTATCATTTTATTCAAAAAAATAATTAAACTTTATGATTACTACTAAATTATTAGAACATCCTAATGACATGTTGAGCCCCTAAGATAGCTACATGCTGGCAGTAATATTCAAGTCAAAACAAATCCTTCTGCATGAGTCATCTGTGACTTTTGAGTGTGTCAGAATGTTGCTCAAACTACACCAGTAACTTCTTCATTATCAATGGTATATACCATCATGAAAATAAAATATGAAATCTCAAAAATTAATTCTGGGCTAAAACAATTTTAAAAATAAATGTTTTAAAATATGTTCTTGCTCTTCGCCGTCTTTATTCTCAAAGGAATTAATAAGCAGAATCTAGGTTCTGCTCAGCAGAGTATATCGAGCCAAGTACTGTGCTGGAATGAGAACACCCCATTTCAAAACAGGATTCCATCTGCTGTAGGAAAACTGGTGTCTCTGTGGTCACAAGGCTTTGCAGAACTGTTGACTTAAAATATAAAGGTTGTAATTTTAAAACTTTGCCAAAAGTAAGCTCCACATTAACCTGAACCAAAGGTATAATTTAGAGGGGTTTCTCCCAATTTCTGATGCTTGTAAGCTTAGTTTGCGGTAATTTGCAGTAAACAGACATAACTGCATAGCTGCTTTCACTGAAATTAGCACTACAATGTTCTTTAGCACATTCTTCCACTTTTTTCAAAGCTCCCTTCTATTCTTCTTTATGTAAAGACATACTAAAGAAAACTCTAATTTGAATTTTACAATTTAAAATACTGCTTCGCTTTCCAGTGTTACCTAGCAAAAAGAAACAACTGTGAAAGTACATACTTTCTGAATGCTATGGAAGGTTTGGAAAAGCATGGAATGCCTGAGACTGCTGAGGTGCTGTGTGACAAAGCTGAGGGAGAAGGTGTGCTTTTTCAACAGAAGAGTCATGTAACAACTGCTGGAAAAATAAAAGGTCATGTGTTACAGGCTCCTGGGAAGCCCTGGGGATTTCACATACTCCACATAGCTCTGCTTGCTGGCAAAGAAATATTTTTTTTTTCCCCCACAAAAGAACATTTTGCTGGCTTCCAAACTGGAAAGAATACTTCAATGGATAAATGATTTATTCCCATTTGGATACTCCACAGCACAGTGTATTCCAAACAATCTGTTCTGATTTCAGTATTCATGTCACCTGGAGCAGAAGGTTGGACTAGGTGACTTCCCAAGGTCTTTTCCAATCAGAATTATTCTATGAATCTAAAGGACACGAGTGTTATAAACAGCCAGGTATTCCAGCATCCTATTTTTAAGGATCTGTACACAACTGGATAGGAAGGCATTAGACAGTTGTCTTGGAATTTCACTGAATTCTTCACTGAAGTTAATCACACGTGTATATTTAATCTATTAGTTCTACAGTTCTTTTTCCCCTTGGCCAAGTACTGGGCTTTAAGAATCCTTTACTTCTTACAGTCCAGATCAGTTTTTGGGGTTTATTCACCTCTAAAACCTCACCTTTCTTTCTTCAGGAAGAGTTATCACTGCTTGTTCCCCTCACCTTTGGAACACTAATGTCTCTACCCATGGGCCAGTGCAGCTCTCACCTGCCCAGACAATAAACAGCTATTCTTATTCTTGGCACATGCAAAAGCAAATTTATAACCTATTGTGAGATAAATTTTTCTTTTCTGTATAGAACAGCAGAGATCCTAGGACGAGGAGACACTGAACTTGAATTTCATATAAAAAGGTACATTAACAACCATATTATGTACAAAAGCAGTAGAAGGGATGAATGCTTTACACATTCTTTATTGACTTATGCATAATTAATTAGCACTGTACTTCATCCTAGTCATTTTTGGGATGGATACAGATTTCACTAATGCACCTTTGAGGCACACCTCAACTAAAGAGAGTAAGAAAATAGGATATGTTTAATTGATGTAACAAATATTTATCTTATGAGTATGCATGCATCCAAATAAAATTTACATACTTAAAATTTATAGATTTATATGCATAAATTAGAATATTAGAAAATATTTAAGATGATAGGACAGTTGGTGTCCAGTTAGGCAGTGAGTACATTAACATTGTGTTCAAATTCCTATAAACTAGTAACTGGGGCATTCCCGGCGTATTCACTATCCTTACCAGGGAGCCTTTATTTACCAAAAATGGGGAAAAATTACAGCTGAAATAAATGCCCCTACACATTACACACACAATCTACACTGCCACAGCAATATTGTTATTTTAAACATTCTAAAAAGAAGTATTTGCTTTATCATATTAACAAATGTCTAGCATTTGTCAAGACCTTTAATGTTAGATTTTATCTAGTATGTATATCTACCTTTACAGAATCTTTTTCACTGCCTTTCAGGGACCAAACAGCATTCAGAATTACGTGGAACATTTAACTTCTCAGCTATGGCAACTATTTGTATGTAATATGAAAGCACATAAACTTTTCATCATCTTTGGTGCAAAAATCGTTCACTTTCTGGAAGGAAGGTATTAATTTTGCCTACCTCCAGAATCTTTTTTCATTCTCTCAGTATTGCTGTTTTTCTCAGCTGGAAATGATGAAAAAGCTAGTAACATGCAATTAGCAGCTCACTCAAGAGCACTGTTTGAAAACATATGGTTTAGAAATCACTGATTACATTTTCCTTATACAGTTCTTTTATTAATACACTGTTCAAAGAATAGCAAGGGCAGAAATTTGCCCCACTGTACTGAATTCAATTGAATTCAATTATGACAGAAAGAGATGGAGTGAATAACATTCGAAATGAGATCCTGTCAAACCAAAATGATTTTATAATGATTAAAGACATCATATTAAACCACTGTATCTTGCATTATATTAGTCTTAAATCTTGTTTTCTTAACACTTTTTACTCTAAAATTCATTCATCATCCCAATTTTTCCTCAGTGAAACCTTTGTTGCTCTTGACTCATGTTGTTTACCTTGTTATTTAAATGCATAAACCCTGTCAATTGCTTCAATTTAGAAATTACAAATAATTTATAAAGTCATTCAACCAACTCGGATCTAGTGTTTGAGTGCTCTACTTTTAAGACAAGTTCCCATTGATGTTATTTACCTTTGATGCTCTAAAACAAAAAGCAGTAGATGTTGTGTCTGACTTTTCTCTGTCTAACATTACAAGTCCTTCATCTTCATTCAGAGCCAAGTACTTTCCTGTTGTGATGTGTCGAAGACGGAAAGGCTCTCCCCATCTGATGTTACTTCCGCTCCAGCTAAACACATGAGATATAGAAAAATAATTTATGAAGCAAGACTGATATTTTTATTTTGGGCTTTAAAGGATGCTCAGAAAACAGAACATTCTTACACTTTCTATACATTCCTTTTGCTTTTGATTCAATATTTGCGTTAAGACAGATCCAAAACTTTTAATATATTTGCAAAGGGAACCTCGGAAAGGAGTATAGATTTAGTTGTGTTGTTTCTTTACCCTCTCTGTTACATATGGTGTTACACATTCCAACGTTTCTGAAAAATACTAGTGTGAATTAAGTATTAATCAATTCAGTTGGTTGCCTAGACTAATTAAACCTAAGTGAGGACGTAACATCTCAAAGAACTATCCTACATCTCTGTTAGTTATGAGGCCATTTCATTTGCAGTCACCAACACATCAAGAGTAAAACAATATAGTTCAAGGCCCTCAAAGTTAAAATATGTATACCCTTATGGCATATATTGAAATTTCATTTGCAACTAGTTAACAAATAATTAATCACCTAGGAGGGAGATAGAGTCTGAAAAAGAAAAAAGATACCCATGAGGAATATTAGTGTTCTGATTTCCACCCATGCATATAAAATTCCAAGTGAAAACTAGGAAAGCATTTTACTTTAGGAGAGAAGCAATGTCTCAAGTAGATAGATCTAATAGGTAAAACTGCTTTTGTTATGGAACACAGAAAAAAAAATACTCAAAAGCCTTCAAAGAAACAGTCTTACAACATTGATATTCCCTATATGATTATAGCACATGTATCATATAGCAGAACAAATAGAGTATTCACATTCTATCCTAAGAGTCTGAAACAACTGAATTGCTGTTAGCAAGAGGTGCTAACAACTAAGTTAAATGTCAGTACCTTATTCGGAGGGGTTCTATCCTCCACAAAGACCTTGCTCGAACACCAGCTCCTCCAGTTTCATAAAGAACTTTCCTACAGGAAAGATTCAGAAGATCATCATCTTGTGTTTATTTTTGTTACACAATATTTATAATTTACTCTTCTGCAAACTGTAGTGGACATGTTTCCGTGCATGCTGGAGGGGGTTAGCCCTGTTCACAGCAATACATGCAAGAATGTTTGTCATGTTTCAGCAGTCATTTGTGTCTTGTCATGTAAGCACCAGAATTTATATAACCTCCCTTATATATAACTGATAAAGGAAATGAAATGGATAATAAGAAAGGTTTTGATCTGAATGTGTAGATAGACAGAACCTTTTACAAAAATAATTGTATTTGTTACATTCTGCAACAGCAAAAATTTAGGAAATAATACACTTCTAATAAAATACTTTATTTAGTGACAACAAGAAAGTCATGATTTTATTTAATTATTACATGTCATATTCAGTAAAAAGCTGAGGGATTTTGATGGTCAGTTTCTCTTCTTCAATGGCTGGCACCTGAAGAGGACTCTGTCCAGTCTGCTTTCAATCCAAATCCATGTGTTCCTGAAGCTAGTCCCAGAATATAGTTTCTGAATCCAATTGCTGTCTGTTGCTGAGTCCAGCCTGGGACCTCGCCAGTGCCTGCTCCACAGCATCAGTGGTGACAGGGACATAATTGCCATCAGGGGCATGGAGTTCAGTACTGGTTTTGTATATGTTTCATTTTATTTGTTATTATTTTCACTGAAGTAGGTTTTTTTCCAATCCATAAGTCTCCCTCCCTTATTCTGTTTCTTCCCCTTTGGGAAGGGAGAGGGGTTAATAGAGAGTGTCTGTCATCCACCTGAATTTTTGCCAAGCCTGCATTTTTGATGTTATATAAGTCCATCCCCTCTATTTTCACTTGCCCTATAATAAAAGACCTTTAAGATTCTTGGCAGGGAATAGTGACTGTGTGAATTGTTAAGGAGCACTCTTTACAGAAAACTTCTGATACTTAAATGTCTTTTCTATGAAAAGAGAAATCACAGAATCATAGAATCATTAAGGTTAGAAAAGACCTCTAAGGTCCTCAAGTCCAGCAATCACCCAACACTACCATGACCATTAAACCATGTCCCCAGGTGCCACATCTACACATTTTTTGAACACTTCCAGGGATGGTGACTCCACCACCTCCCTGAGCAGACTGTTCCACTGCCTCACTACTCTTCCAGTAAAGAAATTCTTCCTAATATCCAACCTAAACTTCCCCTGGTGCAACTTGAGCCCATTTCCTCTTGTCCAGTCGCTAGCAACCTGGGAGATGACACCAACATCCACCTCACTACAGCCTCCTTTCAGGTAGTTGTAGAGAGCAAAAAGATGTCCCCTCATCATCCTCTTCTCCAGACTAAACAATCCCAGTCCCCTCAGCTGCTCCTCACAAGACATGTTACCCAGATACCTCCCCAGCTCTGTTGCCCTTCTCTGGACATGCTCCAGCACCTAAATGTCCTTCTTATACTGTGACGCCCAAAACTGAACATTGTACTCCAGCTGTGGCCTCACCACTGCCAAGCCCAGAGCCACAATCACTTCCCTACTCCTGCTGGACACACTGTGTTTTGCTACAGGCCAGGATGCTTTGGCCCTCCCCATCTGGGCACGCTGCTGGCTCATGTTCAGCCAGCTATCCACCAGCAACCTCAGATCCTTTCCTGCCTGGCAGCTTTCCAGCCACTCTTCCCCAAGCCTGGAGTGTTGCCTGGGATTGCTGTGACCAAAGTGCAGGACACAGCACTTGGCCTTGTTGAACCTCATGCAATTGACCTCAGTCCAGCTATTCAGTCTGTCCAGATCCCTCTGCAGAGCCTCCCAACTCTTGAGCAGATCGATACTCCCACTCAGTTTGGTGTTGTCTGCAAACTTCCTGAGCGTGCACTTGATGCCCTCCATCCAGATCATTGATAAAGTTATTAAACAAGACTGGCCCCAAAACTGAGCACTGGAGAACACCGCTCATGACTGGCCACCAACTGGATTTAACTCCATTCAGCACAACTCTGTGGGCTCAACCATTCAGCTAGTTTTTAACCCAGCCAAGAGTCCACCTGTCTAGGTCATGAGCCACCAGCTTCTCTAGCAGAATGCCATGGGAGACGCTGTCAAAGGCCTTACTGAATTCCAGGTAAACACCATCCACAGCCTTTCCCTCCTCCACTAGGTGGGTCACCTGGTCATAGGAGGAGATAAGGCTGGCTGCATTTGTGAATCCATGCTGGCTGGCCCTGATCTCCTGCTTGTCCTGAACTTGCTGTGTGAGCGCACTCAGGGTGAACTGTTCTATAACCTCCCCCAGTACCAAGGTCAGGCTGACAGACCTGTAGTTCCCCAGATCCTCATTCCAGCCTTCCTTGTAGATGGGTGTCACATTGACAAGTCTCCAGTCATCCGGGACCTTCCCCATTAACCAGGACTGCTGATAAATGATGGAGAGTGGCTTGGCAAGCTCCTCCACCAGCTCCCTCAGCACTTTCAGGTGATTTGGCCCAACAGACTTGTGAGTCTCCAGGTGGCCTAGCAGGTCCTTAATTGCTTCCTCCTGCATTATGGGTGGTTTATTCTGTGCTCTCCACTCCTTCTTCCAACTCAGGGGGATGAATACCATGAGGATAACTGGTTTGAATTCTGAAGACTGAGGCAAAGGCGGCATTAAGTACCTCAGCCTTTTCTTCATCCTTGGTGGTAATGTTCCACCCACATCCAATAAAGGGTGGAGATCCTCTCTGGCTCTTTTTGATGTTAATGTATATGTAAAAACCTTTTTTTATCCTTTTTACAATAGTGGCCAGATTGAGCCCTAGCTGGAATTTGGCCTTCTGATGTTCTCTCTTCATGACCTAACTAGATCCCTGTACTCCTCTTGAGCTGCCTGCCCTTTCATCCAACGTTGGTAAACTCTCCTTTTCTTCCTGAGTCATAACAAAAGTTCCCTGTTGAGGCAGGCTGGCTGTCTACTCCACCAGTTTGTCTTATGATACATTAGGACGGTCTTCTCCCGTGTCTCTAAGACTTTTTTCTTGAAGAGTGTCCAGCCTTCCTGGACCCCTTTGCCCTTTAGGACAGTCTCCCAAGGAACTCACCTGACCAGTGCCCTGAAGAGGCCAAAGTCTGCCCCCCAAAAGGACATGGTATTGGTTCTGCTGACCCTTCTCTGTACTTCGCCAAGAATTGCAAACTCTTTCATTTCATGGTCACTAAGATCAAGATGGCCTCCTACCACTACGTCACCCACCAGTCCTCCTCTATTTGTAAACAGCAGGTCTAGTGAGGCACCTCCCTTGGTGGGTTCACTTACCAGCTGTGACAGGAACCTGTCTTCCACATGCTCCAGGAACCTCCTAGACTATTTCTTCTCTGCTGTCCTGTATTTCCAGCAGATGTCTGGCATGTTGAAGTCCCCCACAAGAACAAGGGCTTGTGATTTTGAGACTTCCCCAGCTACTTGTGGAATGCTTCATCTCCCTCTTCATCCTGGTTGGGTGATCTATAACAGACTCCCACCAGGATATCTGCGTTGTTGGCTTTCCCCTTCATCCTTACCCATAAGCATTCAACCTTACTATCCCAGTCGTTGAGCTCTACACAGTCAAGACACTCCCTAACATACAAAACTACCCCACTGCCTCTCCTTCCCTGCCTATCCCTTCTGAAGAGCTTATAGCCATCCATTGCACCACTCCAGCTGTACAAGTCATCCCATCACGTTTCTATGATGGCAAAATAGCTATTCTGCTGCACAATGGCTTCCAGCTCCTCCTGTTTGTTGCCATGTATTGGTGTAGGTGCACTTGAGCAGGGCTAACAATTTCACCTCAAATACTGGCATTTCACCCATAGGCTCATCTCTAGCAAGCTTGGTTTTATCCCTTTCCCCCTTCAAACCTAGTTTAAAGCCCTCTCAGTGAGCCCTGCTAACTCATGAGCAAGAATCCTTTTCCCCCTTTGAGACAATGGAACTCCATCTGTCACCAGCAGGCCCAGTGTTGTGTAAAAACTGTGATCAAAAAAAGGTCAAATTCCTCCGGTGGCACAAACCTCTGAGCCACATGTTGATCAGACATTCTTTCTTGTTCCTTTCAGTATTTTTTCCCTGCCACTGAAGCGATTGAGGAGAACACCAGCTGAGCACCCAGCCTTTTAATGAATTGCCCCAGTACCCTCAAGTCCTTTTTGATTGCTTTAGGGCTTCTGTCCACAACCCCATCGCTGCCAACCTGCATAACCAGTAGGGGTTAATAGTCCTAGAGCCGTACCAGGCCAGGGAGTTGCCTGGGAATGTCTCTAAACCAGGCCCAGGAAGGCAGCAGACTTCCCGATGGGATGGATCCGGTTGGCACATGAGGCCCTCCATTCCCCTCACTAGGGAATTGCCTACAATGACTTCCCTCCTTTTTCTCTTAACAGAAGCTGTCCTAACACACGGGGCTGACTGACTTGCCTTGGGCAACCCCCTAGATGGACTTTCACCCACATCCTCATATGCCTTGCCCTCAGGTTCCAGTGCCCCACACCTGTTGCATAAAGGCCCCTGGGAAGGCGAGGGACCAGTGGCAAGAGGGCCGGGGATCCTCTGGCTCTCCTGAGGCCTCCATCTGCTGCCTTCGCCTCAGGGTGCGGCTCCACCAGCCTGTCTCCCTCTCGCACTCCCTGATACGCCTTAACCTCTCCACTTCCTCTTTCAGCTCTGCCGCCAGGCCGAGCAAATCACCCACCTGGTCACACGGCACATGGTTCTGATGGAACAGACACAACTAATTAAACAAAGAGATGGAAATAAACACAACTGTCTTCTACAGCTCTTTCTCCTGTTCCTATTGCTGTTGAGATTTTTTTCATGTACTCATTTTTTATAATGTAAACATTAACTCCTACAACTACAACGTACAAACTCGGCCTTACATGAATTATACAGCTCACAAATCCAAAAGATAAGACAACTCCAAATCCTCAATTTTAACACACTGTATCATCATCAAACAATTAAAAACCTCTAAGTGAAGTTTTCTGACATTCAGTTTGGATTTTCTCTTTGTTTAGGAGACATTTTTACTCAAATTCAACTGACAAACAACAATCTCCTTCTTTCCTGAGAGAAGGAAATGTATAAATATGCACCACCACTCACCTGTGCTGTGAATCATTCTGATCAGTAGATGGAATTGTCAAACACTCATCATGGCCATGGAAAAAACGTAGTACATGCCCACCAAGAAGATATCCTGTAGAAGCAGCACATTTACTCATTAGATCAAACATTGGGAGTATGAAAATAACACCTTCAAAATTAAAAAAAATAATAATTCAAAAGACCTAGGTGAAATCTGCTTTCCAAATTTTCACTCATAACTGAAATTAAACCAGAGGGAGAAATTGAGTATGCCAACATGTTTTGTAGTATCTTTTTCAGTTAAAAAATGTTTCTCCTGAAAATGGAGACAAAAAGAAAGCAATCTCTAGTATTTAGCAATCGAATTAGGATTCTGGGGCAGAAAAGGGAAATTAATATTCTTTATTAGCAGTTACTGTTTTGAAAAGTGAATGCTTTTGGTAAGAGTCAGATCAAATATATAATACCAGAGTTTCCTCACTTGTAATAAAATTTAAATGTTCTCATTACAAAATAATTTTGTGAGTTCATAAATTTGTTCTGACATTTATGGTTTATATCAAAAGCACACGGCAGCAGCAAGAGACAGAGGACGGAAAAACACTTAGCAGTTCTGAAAATTAAGTTTAATGGAAGCTAACTTTCCAACCCACTTAACACAAAGACGACAGGTCAAACCCAGACACTTTGCCTTACAGAAAACAGAAAGAAAAAAAAATTGTGTAGGCGGAGAATGATTCATCAAACCCTCAGTCCAAACTGTTCTGACCTTGTAAGTGAAATTAATGCCTTTTAAAAGAACAAATACACATAAAGGAGGAAGGGTAGAAGGAAACTGTCACACTGTGCAGCCTATTCACTGTAAATTTATAGATTAGGAAACAGTAACTGGCAATTATCCTGTTGTCAATTAACACAAAGGCCAAAGCAAAGAAAGAATGCAAAAAAACCCCAAATTTTCCCAATATTTATGTTTCATCAAAAGTACTTCAAAAATCACAAATATGTTGCCTGACTCCCAGTTCAATTTTAGACTCAGGAATTCCCACTTTCTCAGTCTGTCCATTCAACTTGAGGGTGCTAAGTCTTTTGACATATGATCATCCCTCATGTAAACCATTCTGAGAATTATATATACAAATAAACTTAAGCAGCTGGGAAAAAAAATCTGACGCACAGAAAACTTACTTCTCTGCTTACTCCACCTTATTTTTTTTAATTTTTTTTTTTTTAATTCATATTATGCAATTCTGGATTATGTGTCTAGTTCTGAGCTACACAGTGCAAGGGTTTCAAGTACAGCAGAGGACCACTAAGATGTGAGTGCATCTCACACATGAATAAAGGCTGACAGAATGTGACTGACCTAGAGAAGGGAAGTCTCTGGGGAATTGCCATCAATGTAAAGAGGACAGAGGCAGGGTCTCTTCAGTGGTGCCCAGTGACAGGACTAGAGACAAGGGGCACACACTGAAACACACGAGTGTCCATCTGAACATCAGGAAACACTTTTTCACTGTGAGGGTGCCCAGAGATAATGAGGAGTTTCCCTCCTTGGAGATACTCAAAAGCTGACTAGACTTAGTCCCAGGCAACCTGTTCTAGGCCTGCTTGAGCAGGGGATTGGTCCAGATCCCTTCAAACCTCAATCACCTTATGATTCTGTAAGAACTTAAGAAATTTATCTGCCAAAACCCTGCTATTACAGAAATCTAAAATATACCACCAATCTTCCATGATCTCTCTGTGTAGCTCATTACATCTGTCATCTCTTACATGTTTTTAATTTTGCTACAGGATGGCTTTTCTGTTTGTGTGATTTTGTTTTTCCATGAAACTTGGAATACAGGGACTTTTCCAGAGTTAACCTCTGTTCTGTTTATGACCCAGCCAAGGATGGTAGGGGACCAGACAGCCATTTATAAATATATGGCTCCAGCACACTACACTTCTATTATCAGAAAGTATTACAAGGAAAATCTCTATCCCCTATGCTCTTAAAATGAAAACCTACAAGCACTCTGAGACAAGTTTCTTGTGGACCAGTGCACAGAAAAACTGTGGGATGCTGATTTAAAAGACTTTGGATTAGAAGGAGCTGACCATAGTCCAGATAAGCCTAGTGACTGTTAGTCTTTAGCACCAGGGTAAATCTGCTTCCATCAAGACTTAGCATAGCAGATCCCAGGGAAATGCAATGTCTCTTTCAGGTCCCTTATAGCTCCATTTTCCCCTGTGATCTTGTATATAATTATATCATAAGTGATTAGTTTTAGGGCCATTTGGATAAAAAAAGATCCTGACTTAAAGACATTTACCATTCACAAACATGGAGGGCTAATACTTCAAATAGAGAACAGCAGAGGTGAAGTACAATGTTTGTTATGACAATGTTAATAACAGCATGGCATTGAAATAAGGAGCCATATTGAGTGGAAGAGCCTTTCATTCCAGAACAAGACATTTCTCAAACAAAATAAGATGATGCTTCTCAAACATGGTTGTAAAGTGCAGTCAAGTACCTAGAAAGAAATCCTGACCCTGTGGTCTGGGGTTTAAGACTGCTTAAGAGACATTAAGACAGCTCATTTTCATTGCCTATTACAGAGAGACAAATAAGGAATCATGGCTATGAGATCCAGAAAGAAAATTGAGGAAACATACTTAAAAAACACAACTAAGAGACTGAAATAGGAATTATGAGAAACCTGCTTTCCTTTCTGCATGAACCTTTATCTCTCTTCTGTTTCCTCCTTTATAGGGTGATTGAAAATCCTATACAAAAATCCACATTTTCTGGCTTTAGTTATTCTGCAGCTCCTACTCTGCAGAATTAAAATGAAGACAACAAACTCTTCATTGCTCTGTCAGTCTTCATTTCCCATGCAGTTTATTATGCATTGCTATTCTAAAGTTACAGCACTTATTTAGCTTTTTTCAGTTAATCTAATTGATGTATCTGTATTTCTCAGTTTTCCCTTCTGTTATTCTCTCCTATGCTCATTTTCCTTATTTTCATTAAGCTCTTTGATGTTCTGAGGGTAGGATTTTTTTCATTTTCACTCTTTATAAAAAGAAATAAAAGGTCATCTGAAGTATATACATTTCTAAATAAACAAAATTACAAACCTTCTGTAATACTGCTTCCTGAGCATGTAGGATGTACGTTCCATAGTGTCTGCATAAAGGAGGCATCCACCTGAATACTTCCATTTGACATGGATAGATGCTAAATAAGACAACAACAACAGGAAAAAGTGAAAATTATGCACTTAAAAATATTTTGTATATTCATTTTTCTACAGAATAGAAGTATATAATAAAATAAATATATCAATATTCTTTAAGAAGTAGTAGTAACTTGCTTTTAAAATTAACTCTTCACTGGGTAAAAAGTACAGTTCGGGATAAAGACATGGAGAAACCCCTTCACTGTGAAAGAAACGGTGCATTACATCCAGGCATATTTCCCAGATTAGGAAAGATTTCATTCATAGGAATCTCAATCATTTTCTTCAAAACTTCATGGTACTTTGTATTTTCCACCACTTGCTAAACAAACCAACCTACCAGGTATCTTTCAGAGGACACACTGACCAGGATAAGATCATCACCTATTCGAACTTTTTCTCCTTCTGACCTTTGTTTAGAAGCAGGGTGTATCGTCCACCAGCACGCCTCTCCTAAAGGACAGAGATGCTTATCAAGGATATACAAAACAGAGAAGTCCCAAGAAATTTAAGTATATTTTTATACAACTTTGAAATAGCATAATAAAGAATTATACTCTATAAGACATTCACCTTATAAACCCACCTCATTCCTCTTTTCAACCCACTTGAATTTTTTTCTTTTCCCTGGAAACTTTTGGTCACTGAATCTTTGTCATCACAGAACCTGATAATTATTTTTTCACGTTTATTTAAAACAACCAACCACTTGCAAAAGACTGCTCAGAACTGCCCTCCCTTCAAGGCTCTCACTTCCAGTAAATTGCTGACAGCTACCTCAGTCTTAATTATCACCTTTTGTGTCTTCTTTCACTTAATATTAATATTTAATTTACAATCTCATGTATCATTTCCACTCTAAACTACATTTATGTTGTAGAATACAGAATTTTGAAACAAATACTCCACAACTTTACAGTATTGCTACACCACAACTGTCAGTTCTGGGAGCAGTTCCATTAGCACTACAGACCATATGACTACAGGATAGACAAGTCTAAGGGTGAGAACCACAGAATATTTCCTACACAGTAAATATAAGATTCCTAATTACTTTGCACACTCTCAATCTCCCCTGCCCCTCCCCCCCCCAAATTCTGCGGAGATTACCTAATTCATTCCACAATTTCACACCCTTCACGACAATGAAAAGTGGGAGAAAAATAAACAAAGGCAGAATTGGTAGCATAAGACAAAGCATACAAATCTATTTGATCAACTAAGAAATTTCATGTAAATCCTCTGTAAACAAAATTTGGTTATGAAACTAATTATAAAGAAGATTATAAATAAAAGTTACATCCCTAAGAGTGTAAAGTGCTAAATCTTTAAAAGATAATAATTCAAAATATCCGGTGTCTTTTCACTCAGTACCTGCTCGGTGAAGAATATTCCCTGAAGCTCAAATTGATTCAACAGGACAGTTTCATGGGTGTGGGAGTAGGGCAAGGGGAAGTGATATTATGTGGTTAAGTGTATGAGGAGAACAAGCATGCAGTAGTTATGAAAATCATCTCCGCAGAAACACAAGTCAACATTCCTTTTCTGAGTTGCTTTTTATGCCCTGCCTAACTGTACAAGAGTCTTTTTGTATATGTACAATGAAGCAAATGGCAATATGAGACCTTGTTACAAAACCTCATGGTCACAAGCAGACACATGCACTATAATTCTGAAAAAAAACCCTGTAAAATTATAAAGACAAATTTCACTGAAACTGTTTTCAGAGGGATAGAACACATATATTCCTTTTATCAACATGCCTAAAGAAAATTATCTCCATATAAGGCAGTAACTAAAGATATAACCAAGTAACAGGCTACTAATATCTGTCTGAGACCATCTTCTGTATGGTGACAAACAGGTGAAAGACAAACTTCACTCATTCAAAACAGGTCATGTAGATAATCAGAATCACCTGAAAAAGAATTCTCAAAGTTCACAGTGCATAAACATTTTAACACCTACATAGGCAGTGCCTCTCCATCATCAATAAATTTTGATTTTAATTTATTTTTAAATATTGGGAAAAAAAAAAGCATTAGAAAGCAGAAGTTTATATTAAGACAGCTGGCATTTCTTCATTTGAAGTTTCACATTAATGAGGTGTGTACAGAGGTAATTAGATTTTCCCTTCAAGGTGTATGTTTGGGCCTGGGTACTGCAGAGTGACCTGCTGCTTTCTGATGAGTACTCATCACTTTCAGTAATCATTAACACTATGATACAGCAGAATGTAAACCTATTTGTGGACCTCTGTAGCTGAGTTGCTTTTAAATTCATTTAACATAGCTACCAGTGACATCTCATGATCTATGTGTGATTTCATGGAAGCATAATTTTTTTTTTTACTATATTTCTGTCAGCAACTCTGTTACTGGCAGTACTCCCAGAAAACTATTAATTAGATTTTAAAGCTTTCTCATCTTTTCTTGTTTGTGTCACATCTCATCCACTCTGTCCTTTTATTATTGTGCTCCAGTTTATGCTTTTATTTTTCTTCCGCTCTTGTAGCAATGTGCTCATTACATTTTTCCTGTTTTACTGCACTGTTAAATTGCATACTTCTTCTGTTGAATGGTTACAATGTGTATTGCAACTGCACCAATATATGTCTTTTCTGTCCTCTAATTCTACTCAAAGTGCCAAACCATACAAATGCATCAAATTTATTTTATTCAATGAAAATTTTTACTTTGACCATTGTGGCCAGTGTTATTGGAGTTGCAGTAACTCAGTTTAATTGCAAGGCAAGTTTAAGTGCAAGGCACTCTCACAATCTTCCACAAAGTCAGTTAATTTACTGAACATTGTCAGTAGTGACAGTCATCATTTGCTTTCAGATATCTTATTTCTAATGAACAATAAACATGACATTCATAAGCTTCAATGCCTCTCCTGAAAACAGAAATATATGACATATTTTCTTTCAAAAATAATGTGTCATACCTGCTGCATTTTCTCGTAGTCCCACATCAAATGCAAGTTTATCTGTTTGGGATCTTGATGATGTTAAACACGTCAAATACTGTGTAACAAAAAAAACCAACAGTATCCATTAACACACATGCAAAAAAAAAATAAATTCACATTACCTAATCTTACTATCAGCCTGTGCAGTACAGGAAAATGAAGGGAAGATGTTTTCTTGAGTTCTCATCTCTTCAACCTCCTATTAGGTATATTTGCTTGGGCCAGAATAAGTCAAAGATCCAGAACAGTTAAAATTTTCCAGTCGCACAATGTAACGAAACTAAATTTATATAAGGCAGTCCGAAGATAGTGTGTCTGTGGGCATCGTCTCTGGGAACTATGAGGAACATCATATCTCATAAAATATGATGCAAAATATAACACATATGCTAATAAATTTATTTGTGATAGCAGTAGTTTGCTAATGGAATAATCATTAAAATAGATTCCTTCAAGACAAAGAAATAACCCATGGCTAAAGGAGCTTTTCAGCTACATTTCTGAGTGAAATGGATTGAAGAATCTAAATTTAAAATGCAAGGGCCACTTCCGTTGTGTTGAGATACCATAAGCTATTCTTTCAAAATTTCTTTTTTTACCTAGTACAGCATAGATCTTAGAAATAACATTCTTCCAAATGTATGTATTTTTTATTTTGGTTTTAAAAAAACTATTTATTTGAGTTTCATGTTACTCACTCTGTGCAAGTCCTTTTTCACTTACCATTTCACTAAACGAATGTCGAAGTAGTATCGCGTGGCCATACAGCAGGGTCCTGTGACCAGCCCCTTGTGCTGCCTACAGAACACGACAGAGTCAGAACTTCACTGTGCTGCATGGACTGCGATCAGAATTGTCTAACCACATGAACAGCTACTACAGTTCATATAATAAGTGCAAATATTCAAGCAAATGATGAAATTCGTATGTTAGGCAAAAATCATAGTAATGAATCAGCTACAGCAATAGCCAAACACATGTCAAAGGAATAAACATTGTTCTTACCCAGACAATCTTATTCCAACCTAATTTTTATTACCATTAAGCATTTAAAAAAAATGTTTTAAATTAAATAAGATACTACTTACCTTTCTTATAAACTTCTCAGAAGCATTAAAAAAAAAAAATTAAATAAGTACATATACACATAAACTGAAATCTAAAAGAGGAAAAATGCATCTGTTTCCCAGAATAGTTTAAGCACATACTAAGGATAGGTACTTGCTAGGATTAATGTTGTCTAAAACATTTGACAGATTCATTCAAGCAACTGCAGCTGTAATTTCAATGAAACACATTTATTCATTTTGAATATGAAAATTTATTACAAGGTCAGGGAGAGGCAAAACTGGATTTTCCATGTGCTTCCTTCAGAGAATTTAACACATATAGCTCCTATTGGTGACCAGAAAAAAATAAATTTCAAGGGAAGAATCTTAATGTGAAAGTTACCTATGGAATGACAGACAACAAGCTTTATAGGATATCAAGCCTGCTTCCCTCTATCTTTTTCTGCATCAACACCTTATTTCCAAGCTATTTATAAATAAGAAAGTTATACAAACAAATAAATAATATAACTAAGAAATTAAGGTCTTTTATTTTTTTTTTTTTTATGATGCTTTCCTCTGAAACTAAGATTGTTTTGGGGATTTTTTAGTTATAGCCTTGATCGCAGTTTGTATAATTTTTTTTTCTTTTAGGAAAGTGACATCCAAATTTTGCAAAATTATGGATATAATTATTAATGTTAATACTAATTAGAATATGGTAGGCAACATTCTCCTTCACTGTTTTTTTCTCAGTCCAGATCATAACATTTGAATCTGGTAAGTCTTGAGGAAAAAAAAAAGGTCTAACAACAGGATCCTGATAACAATCTTCAAACTGCTGATTTAAGAATATTTAACTTTTCATACAATCATTTGAAAATTGTTCTCGTGCACAGGGTTGGTTTTTTTCTTCCCATTTGAAAGAGCATTTACTTTATGGTCTTTGTGTTTCTGGAATATTTACATTAAATATGAAAGATGATTCCCCAAAAATATGACTTTAGAACAGCAATCACCTCTAGTACATAACATCCTGCTAGTAAGGACTGCCTTTAAGGTCACTTTTTCTCCTTGGACACATTTGGAAGGGATAAAGATAGTGCAAGGCAGTTCCAGGAACTCAAATAATGGTTATACATATGTTGGCAAATCATTCTGCACTCTATGAACAATACATTAGATGAGCTCCCAGTTCGGTCAGTAAGTTTACAAGCTATGTACTTGTGTTCTGCAGAACACCATCTTAGAGGAACTGAAATCAAATGTTAGTTGTCCAAACAGAAGGAATAAAAATGTAAAAGCAATTCAGAAAAGGTCTTTTATTACAACTGCAATAAAGTAAAAATTCTACTTCTGTTTTTTCCAGCTAATAACGAAGACATTAACTAATAGGCATTTGGGACCTGTTTACACTGGAACTTACTCCTGTTAACAGATTGTAGACAGTCTTATGTTGTTTTATGTAATAAATTTTTTTGAGAATTTTATCAGAATTGTATGAGTACTATGTATAATCTCTTTCACAGTATGATCCATATAAATTTGTAAAATTTCTCAGTATGCCCAGTAACAAACTAGAAAAAAAATTAAACTCCTGAATAAAGATGTTTGGACTTCCATAGGAAATGTGTCAAGATTATTGGAAAAAATTGTAGACATGTATAAGATGGTTAACACTGGTCATTCAGAGAACATATATTTTTACATATCATTATAAAAGGCTGATCAGAAACAATAAATTTAAAAATTCCAAGAGCTCCTCCAAAATGTGTCATGCATAAAAAATGGTTTTAATAATATATCCTGCAGGAACTTATCACTACCTGGGGTAGAAAAGCAAAAAACCATCATGTAACAGTGTATATAATACTTTAACACACTACAACTTTTATTTTAATTAACAAGGAAAAACTTAACAGCAAAATCAACTGTAATTACAGACAAGTTGTAAAAAGAAAATTACTTGGAATCAGTTTGTAAGAAATACACGCATACTGAGAACAAGCAAGAAAACACCTTATGTTATACTTTTCACTGAAAGCTTTTCAGTAAATCACTTATAATTTTAGCGGTGACTCCTTAAAAACAAAACAAATCAAAACCGAAACATAACACACCTCCAAAATCAAATAAGCAATGTTATTCCTCTAGAAAAATCTGAAACTAACAGCAGAACTCTATTCCAAATTAAATTTAATATGGAAAACAAAGAATTCAATGGAATGATAGACTGATGGAAACAATAAAAGATTAATATTAATTACATAAGGACAAATTCTATTCTTAGCAATGCCTTTGTATTGAGAACAGACTGTAAATGAATGTTTGAAGATGTGCATTCCTACATTTCATGCTGTGATTTTTATGTAGATCTATAACAATTATTAAAAGAAAACATTTAGTATTATTTGTCTGAAAAATAGATTTTTCTGAAATCTAATTTAGAAATTACATATTATCATATCAATTTGCTTTCATGCAGCTAAAGATAGTGCCTCATAATACAAAACATTTAATTTGAATGTTAGTTATGACATATATCTCAAAAGAGAATCAGTTAATGGTAACTTAAAAAATAACCCATCCACTTTTACCAACAGCTTGTTGGCAAAAGCTGATTAAGAATCCACCTTCTCCAAATGTAACAAATCCCTGTGGCCCAGAAAGCTTCCTGCACTATTGTTCAGGTTTTCATTTTTTTTGTTTCATTCTTAGTGTTTATGTAGACTGCTGTGTTTGTCTTACAATTTCCACAACGGAAAAATTCAAAATAAAGACAGGGCAAGGCAGTTTTGATATAAATATGGCACAACAGACAACATAGAGTTTTTTATATTCCATTGCTCCTAAAGCAACAATTTTTACCAAAGAGATTATTTATCCTCTACTGCCAATCCCAAATATAAATATTCATATATTACTAGTAACATCAGATAAAATCTTTTGGCTAAGCCTTTGGAAATACTAAAAATTGTGTTATTGCTTAGAAGTCCTAGCAGTGTTTAAATCAATCTTACTTTCCCTAAGCAAATACTCTTTTCATCAAGAGTTCAACTTTTTAGAAAGCAAAGTAATTGAAAAAAAATCAAAAATTATACTTTAAACTGGAGAAAACAATGGAAAACAAGAGGTGAATAACAATGAGGTCTGCAAATTCTGCATGCAAAGGCCAACATTGCAAGACTGGAGGTGACAGGGCCGAAGTCCAGCTTCCTCGAGCTGTGCCACGACACGGGCCAGTTAAAGATCTGCAATGCAGAATAAACCAGTAGGCTGTGGTGATCCCTGCTGCTAAGTCCCCTAAGTGTTCTTCTACTTCTCAAAAAGTAAAAATGAAGGAAAAAAATTAACATCTGTGAATCAAATGCTTTCCCAGTTTGGTACAAAATTGATTCCTGAGATATACTCAATAATTTCTCAACACAGAAAGTCACTCTGTTCTGCTATTTATGCTGATGTGTCAGTTACTACCATAGTTTAATTTTAATACTGTACTATGAAAGAATTTTTTTTATTTGTAAATAACATAATAAAATCATTATTTTCATGCATTTGAAACAACAAACTCATGAAGGCCTACTGGACTACCACTACCAAAATCTGAGTATTAAATATGAATCTGCAACATTTCTCTCAACAGGTAAGAAGACTTCTCACTAGAAATATCTTTATTCCAACAAACATAGCATGCAAACAGTGTACAGTGTATACAATATCTTCACAATGTGTACAATACCTTAGGGCATATTCAGAGGCTTTCTGTAGGTTATTGTAAACTACATTCCTGTAGACTTACGGCCACTACCCATTGTTTATAATACAAAATGCATCTTATGATTTTAGTCTACTGAACTGTGTCTAAGAGTATTAAAAGAGCATAAAACTGACAGAATGCTCCCTCTGTGCATGCACACATACGTTTCTATATGAATATGGTTCACATAACTTGGTGCTACATGTCCTGAATATATATATACTAATTGAACTGATATGATTTCCACACATAAATCACAAAAGAAATAGGCTTACTGAGAAGGAAAATTATTATTCTTTAATAGAATGAAAGGTAGGTCATGCCTATCCCTTCAGTAATACCATACTGAAGATGGCATTATAACTACTGTAACTAGTGTAGTAGTTACACTACTTAGATTTGTTTTGAAAAACAAGACTCATTGTTGAGTATAAAATGCTTAACTAGTGCTTTGATGTATCTGGTTTACAAATGGATAATACTGAAAAGTGTCTTAAAATGGTGAATTGTTGCAGAACAACGAAGAGACAGCAGAATGAATGGCAATTCATAATTCAAGAGAAAGAATACAAAAAAATATTGTTCTATAGCCATTCTATACTTTAGAAAACTAATACACATTTTTAATACATCACTTCTGCATAAATGGATATAACATTCAAAAAACTAGCTTCAGGTAAATAAAACACCCGTTTGATTCTCCCTTCTACAATGTTTACTTAAATCATAAAATTGTCCTCCTCCCACATATTATTCTACTGTATTTTTTAGCATTGTACTAAAATGTGGTTTTATATTTGGTTTCTTCCTCAGTCATCCATTTCTCCTTTTACTTAATGCGACAGTCTTAACTCTGTGTGTAAATACAATTGAAGAAAAATTACAACTCAAAGAAAATATTAGTTTTCTGGTTCTACGTAAAAATGAAAACTAACGCTAGAGATAGAAGCTCTGCAGATTATTTGCATCATAATTAGTTGCCATTTCATCTCGTAAAATAGGTAAAGCCTATTTATAGTTTTATCATGCTCTGTTCATAAGGGAATAAAAGTTCAATTCAATTCAGTTGAAACTGGAGAATTAGGGTCAAAGCACTCAACTTAAGTCTCAGGTTTTTAGACTATGCTGGGAAACCAATTAAAGCACAGCATCCTAGAAGATAGTAGCAAGTTTATCTGATCAGGCAGCAAGAACCTGAGAGGTATGGTAAACATAAATGCACCAAGGTTGCACACAATAAATTCAAGAGTTTACTTAACTTTAAGAGATATATGTGACTACTACCAAATTTAACTCTGAGAGTGAAATGCAGAAGATCTGTATTTACACAAGGTTTGTGGTTTTCATGGTGCCAGAAAGCAATTAGGGGATCTGTCACAACAAACAAACATTGTAAAGTCTCATTTAATACTAATTTGTTAATAATACTTCATTCCCATGCATTATAAGTTTTTTTCAGATGTCAGTTGTTCACTGAATAGAAGAAAATTATAAACATGGTGTCACGTTTTATTTTAAACTCCTAAAACTTGTAGACATAAATATAACAGAGCAGTGACTAATTCAGTGGAGACCACAGGTTAATTTCATTTACTTTCAGAGAAACACAAGCTCTACCTAAGTATATAGAACCAGTCAATTTAAGAAAATTACCTACTTACAAGCAGTTCATAGATGCAGCAGCAAGTGTAACTTATAAAAGTATTCTTCCAGAAACACTAGTGCATGGAGGAGAGGTAAGTCTGTCTCATCTCAATAACTAGCAACACTGAAAAATGATCATTGTTCATGCAGATCATTGAAAATACATGCAAATCTGTATCTGGATTTTGCATTAGACTTAATTTTTACTTAACCACAGAATCACCTTTTGCCAAACAAACAGCTTAGACGTTCTATGAAAAACACGGTTCTTAACTTTGTCACCAATAAATAATGTATAATAAAGTGCACAGCAGGGTTTTTTTGGCATCCTGGTCATTCTAGTGTGCAAGTCCTCTTTCAGTCAGTGTATTTTTGATTTTAAGTGATAATTCAACTGAAATTATTAGTAATAATTTTAGTAGTAATAGAATGCAAGCATAGTTACAACATTTCACTTTACTGCAAAGTCACATTATGCTATACTGTTAGCAATACACTAAGTATGCTTGTGCTAAATAAAAAAAGATTAAGAAACCCAGACAAGATAATTTTGAAATAACTATCTCTATCCAACAGTTTTTGTTTGTTATAACAGATCAAATAACATGAAATTATACTGAAGCAGTTTGGTTACACATTTACAAAGAATAAATATTGTATTTTTTTAATCTGATCTAAAATAGATTCAATTTGTCACTTTTTTCCCATTGATAGGACTTAATTTCTAACTGTTAATTTCATGTGAGGATAAATCAAATTAAGTCTAAATACTTGAAGTACTTTCTTAGCTCAGTGAAATGAGACAGAATATTTACATGCTAAAAAGATTATTTTGCTTTCCCCATTAATAAATGGCACTATAATACAATAATGCTTTTATAGCAATGTTTTATATCTCATATACTCTCCTCAGGTTCATAAAAGCCAGACTTGGTCGAAGGGTTCTCTTACTCCTTTTTCAGTATCTAGTTCTGGACCAATGGCAATAAATGATCTCTGAAGACGAAGTTTCTGGGTTTTGTAAATATTTCAAAAGACTAACTGCTTCTGCTCCTCAATGCCAAAGAAAAAGAACTATAGTAGTGGAGCAATGGTATCCCAGAAAATCAGAAAAACTGAAGAATCTGCTATGACATGAGGTCCCTTTCCTAGAAAATCCTGGAGCAAAGAAGGAAATGAGAATAATCCATATTCAGAAATTTTGATATTGTTTGATGTCAGTTTACTTACCCCTTCACTAGCATTATCCCCTGTGTTGGCCAGCATTTCCTGAAGGGCTCTGACAGAGAGGGACTGTTCAAGGACAAAATTGCAGATGCAAAGGTCTGGAGGAACATACTGCAAAAATAAAGTAAACAGTATAAGAATGAATTAGATGAGCAGGTGAAACAGGATGAGAAGTGTGTTTGAACACACATGTATTTTGACTTTTAAATATGTATTTCATGGTTATTTCTTTTTGTTGAGATCCGTGATATTTCTACGTATTAAAATAATATAAATCCATTTTTTATAACTTGTTCTAGAGCTGTATTCCTCACAGTAAAATGAAACATCTTCAGATTCAAAAATGAAAAGGTTTTCTCTACATATTATTGCTTTCCTGTCTTTTAGAATTACTCCATGAACATTGACTTTGCTCTCTAATGTCACTGATGAAAAAGAAGAGAAGGTGTATGATGTTCATAGATGTATAAGGTTGACATTTTGAACGTATTTATAGTTGTCACTACACAGCAAAGACTCAGAATCTTACAGTATAATAATACAAACTGTTTTAGGAGACCTCATTGTTAGATCAATATGTCTGCTGATTTTGAAATGTGAAACTTAACATTCACTTCAAGAACAGCAGACTTTTTTTTTCAATTTATTGGCATTGATGTGTCCAAGGAAAGATGGGTCCAAGAAAAAAGTCTCAAATGGAATCCTCAATTTATATAAGTATGTGACAGGAAAGTACAAAGAAGACAGAGCCAGGCTCTGTGCAGAGGTACTCAGCGAGAGGACAAGAGTTAAGCCACACATCAAAACACAAGATATTCTGTTTAAATAGGAGGAGGAAACTTTTTTTACTGAAAGTATGGTAAATGATGGAACAGGTTCTCCAGAGAGGTTGTGGAATCTCCATCCTTGGAGACATTCAGACCCTGACTGGACAGAGTCCAGAGCAATCTGCTATAGCTGCCTCCAGTATGAGAAGAGGGGTTGGACTGGATGATCTCCATTGGTCTTTTCCAACCTCAACAACTCAGTCTTCTTTGATTTATGATATAGGTGATGGCTATGAATGAGCTTTAAAATGCTTACAACTTCTTTTTAAAATTAATGTGACAGGAGAGACTAAAATCTTGATAACGCTGAGCTTTAGGATGGTGAAAAGGGAAACTGTACAATTAAGAGATTGCTAAACTTGCTAAAGTGAAGGCTTTATAGCAAGCTCATCAAGTACAGTCTTGGAATTCCCACTCTTCGATCTCCACTTCAGACTAAATTTATGTATGTGTGTGTTTTCAAACAGACTTGTAAAGCCAAAGACTTGCCATTGAAAATGCATACATCAGAGATTATGTATTTACATATATTACTGAGGTAAAGTGACCTCTTAGAACTTTTTACATGACTAAATAACTGCAGATACTAAGTAGTTCATAATTTCATTAACTGCAAAAGAAAAAACTTGAACACTTGTCATCATTCATCTCCACTAAGGGATACCGATTTTTTCAGTACACGTCAACTGCACCTCTGTACATATACAAATACACACAGCATACTCTGTTATGTAAACTCATAATATACATATATATGTGTGTGCATGTATGTAGCATCCTTACACATGCACACATGTGCACATAAATCATAACTGGAAGTTTCCCATTTTAATAGGATACACTCAAGGCCCCTCATATAACCAGACATAGAAAGATAATGTCATTTCTCAGTGAAATTAATTACAAAAGAAGCTACGTTAGATTTTGCATCTCATATTTGTTAGTAGAGTTTGGAAAGTGTTATTTAGAATATTTTATTGCTACGAACATAAACATCTATACCATATTAAGTAGTGTGTACTTCCCAATGACCCAGTCAGGTAAACAAAGCTTCTGCATAATACCTCACCCGTTACTTTACTGCTTTTAATTTCACCTACCAGGCAAATAACACACATCATTATTAAAAAAACCCATCATTATAAAACAAAAAACCTAGATATTTTTCCATTGCTATACTGTGGCAGCTTTCAGATTATGCACCATCCATTTTATTAAGACATTTTCAGTATGTATTAAGCCACGCTGTCCTTGAAGAACTTCTGAATTTTAAAACAAAAAAAATAACAAAAAAAATCTTCATAACATCTTTCCATTTTCAACATGGAAATTAAATTAAGAAACTAAATTGGAATTTTTTCTGGGAAAAGATATAGCTAGTAATATAGTTCTAATCAACATTAGACTACCTCTGGCACATAATCCCACTCCCAACTGAATATGGTATAATCAGTATCTTCCAACACCTACCAACTGAATAAAAGATTTTCCATCTGTTTCACTGGACAATAGGTTTGTGTCACATAAAGCTGCATTTTTATTTGAAAATTGTGGAACCTTTAGTAGTGTATTAATAAAAAACACACTCTAAAACAATGTACTCCTAGTCACAGTTTGTATGAAACATACATCTTTGGTTACCAGAATTAATCTTTTACTTTTTATTCTTTTTCATAGCCTATGCAGCATGCAGGCTTATTTAATATTGACACTGAGAGCTATGAAATTAATGGTTTTTCCAGCCATGGCTTAGAGTAGCTAATCACTTTAACCATTTCTTTGGTTGGATGGCAACAAATTATTTTTAAAATTGCACTGACCTGAGAAACACCAGTGAAAGGTAATTTATGTAGCTGGCACATGACCTAAGTGGCAAATAACCTTCTTAGTTAATCTAGATTGCTTCCTTAAAAACAAACAAACAAACAAACAAACCACTCCCATGAAATAACAACAACAAAAAAAATCCAAACAAACAAAAAAATCCTGTTGAGTCTGTCAAGGTTCACTAGTTTCATTAGTTTCCTGGTCTTTCTAAAAATTATACTGTTTTATGAGTTGAATATTTAACAATCTTTGTGTGGCAGACCATTTTACACTCTTAATAATTACACAGATAAGAAAGGTTTAATAAAATCTCGATCATCTGCTAATCTATGCTTCTTTTCAACAACTCTGAGCAATGTTGTATTGTAATGGAATCCCGCAAAATAAAAAAAATAAAGGTGTGAGTAGAGGATATTTAATGAAATATGAATACTAAGAGTGGAGAGCTACAGGTAGAAGGTGGGGAAATATTAATGTCAGGTACCTTTATCCTGAAATTAAACACAAAATCTGTTTAGGTACTCAGATAAGGTTTTAGAAATCTGCTGTAAAGTAACAATAGGCATAGGGGTTTATCCCCCTTCTGGCTACTGGAAGTAGGAATGAACATACAGAAGTAAGACAACAACATTTTAAAATTCATCAAAAAAAAGAAAAAAATTCAAGTGGGGAATAAAGTGTTTTATGTTACAGACATTTAAAGATACACAGAGCAAGCACTACTTTAAGTGGGTTTGTGTAGCAAAATAAGTAGACATAAGATCTGTGATACAAGAAAGCAGGAATTTGGAATATATATTTCTTCAAATTCAGTAAGGATTTTAGGAGATCTGCCAGCACACTTTTGCAGAGTCTTGTCTATATATACAGGAAGATAAACAAAAAGACAACTTCGATAAAGGAAACCTACACAAATTCGAAAAGTAAATCTGAAGAAATCATTGACAGTTCTAGCCTGAGAACTGCTCTTTTTACAAGAAGAAAATGTTTATTTCTGAGACTATTTCCAAACCAGGTCTTTCATGTAGAGCTACCAGCTTGCCATCAACACACTCATAACACTGAATATACCTTATTTTTCTCTCTTCAGCCTTCTGGAATCCTCCAGGTGCTATCATTACATTAAATTCTTGCAGGTGATAATGCTTACTAGCCAATTCTTTGCCCACAGCTTCTGATCTGCAGTGTATTAAACATGGACATAAACTGGTACAGATTACTAATTTACCATGTTTATTTTTACCAGACATGTAAGCTATGACATTCTGTCATTAGGATAGAAATCTTAATTAGTTATAATTCCCTTCAGGCATTTAAGTTTACTTCACAATTTTGCTACTAAAAGATGCATTAGGATATTGCAGTTACTACTGAGGTATATTTTTCTTAGATATTGGTAGAAGTTGGCCTTCCTGCACTAAACTATTAGCTCTGAAATACATGATCTTCCCAAGTATCATTTTAAAAACAAGAAATACAGCAATGAATTAATACAATCACATCATTCAATGATTCTCCTATTTCTTGGTTAGTATAAAAAATTTAAATTTTCACCTTAGAGATGACAAGGACCTCTCATACTTAAATATGAGACTATATATAAATAAACACTGTGGATGTAATGTAGTCATAATACCCAGACTAAAAATAGGACCACATGGCAAGATTTCAAGGGAAAATATACAAAGATCCCACAAAAAAAAATCAGGAGAAATAAATTATCAACAAGAAAAGAAATAAAGACATGAAACAAAGAAAAAGAAAACTATACAGAGAGAACAAACAAGAGAAGGAGAAGTTCCTCCTCCATTTGCCTTTATTCTTAACACGCTGGCCTAGTACAAATCTAAAGTTTCAAGACTCTCAAGAGTCTCATACTACTCAATTTTCTTTCTTTTCCCCCCACAGACCCAGACCTCTATTTTTTTTTTTTTAACTTATCATCTTTATAACTTTTCAATTCCTTAACTGTGTTCCCTGTACTCTCCCTTCTGATCATTCACCACAGACGCAACACTTAATGCCAGTAACTAACAGGTGACAATGCTTCTAAAATTATCAATCCAGCATATCAAGATATTTCAACCTAGAGCAGTAATAGGAATAAGTTTTTTAGGGAACTTAAATCTTATTAGCCGTCTGGGGACAATCTTGAAAATATGAAGCATTTCAGTTACAGGAATTATTTTAGGTAGTTAAAAAATAGTGGCTTTTGACTGTAAACAGCTATGCCTCAAAGTATACTTAGAATCTCTAAGAAATTGCATGCTATAGTCACAGAAAGAAAAGCACAAAAAAAGTGCAGCTGACATCACATTCAAGAAAGCACAATTGAATGTATTTGTGGATAATAAGTAGATTAACATTAACTGATTGGTTACAGCAGTTGAGAGTATCGACTTCTTACTTTAGCTTCTGATGTTGGTTCCAAGAAGCACAGACGATTCCCAAGTCCCTCAGCTGCCAAGCAAAACTTCCTTTGTTCTTTGTGAGTACTGGCAACACACTGAAGTACTACTTCGTCATCCTGTCACAAAATAAGATACGAGAAAAAACATAAATATTTGGAAGTTACATACAAACCATAATGCGAAGAAATCCTGGCACACAGAATCTGTTGAAAATGAACACATTATAGTACTATAACGGATATCATTTACATATGCAGAGATTTTTTTTTTTGGTGTATATAAGCAGATGTTTATGTATAGGTTTATATTCAAGACTGTAGCAAAGTGCCAAAGACTGGTGCCTCCAGGGTTTCCACGAATGTTGTGTCCTTCTGCTGTTTCAGCAGTGGCTTGCTATGCCATAAAAAAAATGTTAAGTCCAATGTTATTCAGTTTTACTCAGTAAAACATGTTTACAGTAAAAACCTGCTACTGTGATTTTGCAGACAACCATGTAACCTAAATATAAACAGATTTATTTTGTTAGCACAGTAAGTCCTCAACAAAACTCTTCTGAATGCATGGTCTTAAACTTTAGGGTCTCATTTAATTTAAAAACCTCTGAGTACCACCAAAGATCCAAGACAACGTTTCAAGTAACTCATAGTAGTTGCTCCTCAAAAGACATATTCCAAGAATAACTCTGAAAAAGTGACATGAATTAGCCCTGTTGTTTAGTTATCCTAATTATTTTAAAAGCTCTATTACAAATTATGTAATACAACGCCAGAGACACACTTACAAAGTGCCAAGCTCTTATTCATCTCTTAACATGTGATACAAAAGCTGATAAAAGCAAGCCAAACCAGGTTATTTTTAGTGTTCAACTCTGTCAAAGGTATCTACAGAATTCAAAATAATTTTATCTTCCAGGAATTGCCCACTAACCAAGAGAAACACCACTTGCAGACTAGCGCATAGAAGAACTTATTTTTACACAGATATGTAACTATTCATCAAAAGACACTGCCTTAGAAGTTTTTAAGGGGGTGGAAGCTGATAAAAGAAGAGTGACATGATATGTCAATGTCCCATCCAGCTACGAAGTTATACTGGTGTCAATTATTATTGTCAAAGCAGATAGACAACAGCCGCCTGGGCTGAACTCAGAGATCACTTGAGCAATTATGTTCTAAAAGCAGCCCTACTTTTTCCAGTCCCTTTATGCAAGCGCAATACTATGAGAGTAACACAGCTACTGGCACTTGAAATAAAAGCTGGGAGTGACAAGTGATTTTCACCAAAGGATTTAAGAGACACACCCGTTAAGCTGGGAATTCAAAAGCAGGTTCTTCACTTGTGTGATTCTGTAAGTTTGTGCAAGTTATATGGCTTTGTTGTAGGTGACACTTTGTTGCCTACTCACTACTACAGAATGGACAGCAATTATATTTCAGACTAATCAGTAGTTACAGACAGTGTTTTCCTTATCAAGCTTTGCATAACAATCAACAGCATTTTTAACAGTATATAATGGGAATTCAGGAATTATAAATGTATAGTCATGTAGACAGAATTACCTAATTAATGCTAAAAAACCCACATTTTATTTTTCCCCTGCTGCTTCTGCTTCCATTTCTGTAAAAGGCTCTCTGAAATTCTCAGCTTTCAAACTCATTAGTAAAAATATTTTTTTTAAAGAAAACCACTGTTTTTTAAACTTCAGTGTAATAAGTTGCAAAATATAAGCAATACAATTAAGCACTCATTACTACATTCCTCTTTCAAGAATTTTTAAAAATCAGCATCAGAAGCATATCTGTTGACAGAAAGTCAGAATATGTACCAAGAATATATACCAATATTGAGAATAATATTGAGAAGTTATGAATAATATTGAGTGCAATGTGTCCACTAATCATTGGGTTAAATTATTTATATATAGCTGAAATT